GGGCCCCGAAACACCCTCCCCCCCCCCCCCCCCCCCCCCGTGATAATTAAAAGCAGAGGCTCAGTTTCGTTGTATCCTCATGACAATACAGACCATAGAAAATAAATAAATAAAGTGAGTTTTAAAATGATACAAATGACGTCTCGTCAGTTTTAAGAGCAGAAGAAAAAATCTCTTTTTTTTTGAATGACAATCTCATAAACAGGAAAATTAATAAAAGGGGATTTTGTACAGGTGACTCCACTGATGACCATATATGGTTTCATTTCTCATTTTCACATTTATTTGCATGAATAAATCAGAAAAAAAAACTTTAGAAAAAATAGTTGTTGTTGTTGTTGTTTTTTTTTTGTATGATAGGAAATAAACATATGGAAGGATCACTTCGTTTTAAAATACATGAACCAATAAATTTGACTTTGGGTCCAGGTTGAGGTCCGCCTTTGGATCCAGGACTGGCTCAGTTGGTCACACAGTATTTCCAGAAACACGCTAGAGTGGCAGAACAGGATCAAAGATCAGAAACCTTTTTTTTGAATCTTTGATAGATAGATGGATGGATGGATGGATGGATGGATGGATGGATGGATGGATAGATGGATGGATAGATGGATGGATGGATGGATAGATGGATGGATGGATGGATGGATGGATGGATGGATGGATGGATGGATGGATGGATAGATGACCCACCTCTTTTATTGGTTTTTGGTAAATTTTGCGCTGATCTGAGGAAACTGTGGGAGCGAAGTTGGTCGGCAGCGGCCAGTTTTAAAACGATGTCCTTGAGATTCTCCATCTAAAAATGTGTGACCAAAACAGTTGTCCCTTGAAGTCTTGTTATTGCGAGAAACATCACTCAAAATATTTATAAAAATGAAGTAACATTCACGACCGAAACAATACAAATGCTGAAAAGTGATTTTTCGACAGGGATTATTGCCGTACTTACCATGTTTGCAGTTTTGGCTTGGTCCGAATCCTCGGTTTCTAAAGAAAAAAAAATGTACGGTATGTTACGGAAATGATATATATGGCAAATATATGTTGGTGGAAAGAATCTGTTACCTTTACTACTCCAGGAGTTTCTGGTTCCGGTCTGTTGCATCAACAGAGGAAACATGTCATTTCTCCGCTGCGCCTCTGCAGTGTTGTCCTCCACCTCTGATACAAGGTTATGAATAAGATCTGTTTAAATGAAGAAAAAAAAAGACAGACTAATTTGTCAGCAGAACATGGTGCTAACAGACGACACTATTTGTAAATACATTTTGTTTTTGTTTTTTTGGAAAAAGAGGAAAAGAGCAGAAGATTTATCAGGTTTAATAATTAATGATGCAACAAAAACTATAATGAGGCAGGACATTTATTTTTGGGGAGGAGGGAAAAAAAATCTGCATTTCTGCACTGCATTAGAGCTGAAGATGCTAAAGATAAAGTACAGAAAGTGAGAGCGTGCAGAAAGGCAAGAGGGATTCGAATTTGGGAATGAAAAATAAAAGAGCAGAAAGTATGATAGATCAAAGGGAGATAAGTACGAATTCCAAACGAGCACAAAACTGCTGATGGCTACAGATGTAAAAAAAAAAAAAAAAAAAAAAAAAAAAGGAAAAATGAGAGAAAGCATCTTATGTGTTGCTTAGAAGTGGACGTCAGTGAAAGCAACACATTCTGTGTTACGATTAGGCTGAGCTGCCGTAGGTTCTATACCAGGGGTCACCAACCTTTCTGAAACTGAGAGCTACTTCAAGGACCCTTAGTAACACGAAGAGCTACTTGTTTGATACAGAGTTCCCCAACAATGTAGTAATAATCAGTTCTGGGACATACAATAGTAGATACTCTTTTTACCATCGTCACTGCAACCATTTGAATATCATTGCAAGTGGAACTGATTAAAAGAGAACTGTAACAGTACGATGTTTTGACCCTCTTGTTGAGTAGTTTGATTTTTAGGACATACCCCGCAGGCACCTTAAGTAGTCCTAGGGGCTACCAGGTGGCCCCGGGCACCACATTGATAACCCCTGTCCTGTAGTGAAGCAATTAGCACGCCCTGGGTTCGATTCCCAGAGCAACCACGTACTTGGCGCCTCCGAGGGGGCAGCCTGTTGCATCGGATCTACTGTTAACACAAGAGAACTGAAAGAACAGCCTTGAGGTCAAAGTTATGTTTCCTCTCACCTGCTGGTGGTTCCAGGTCAGTGTCAGGAAACAGAGGCAGAGCCTGTGTCCATCTCCCGGAACATGCCACAGCCACTAGGTAAAATAGAGCAAAAGAGAGCATGGTGACGGCCAGGTTGGGACTGTTCTTGGAAGACGCGCTGCGGTCTTCGCTTATATACCGGCAGAAGACATCCATCAACCTCCTGATCGATACACTATCATCAGCAGCAGCGTCGGGCCCTAATGGTTTTGGGCAGGATGGATGGGACGTCGCAGATGTTGCTGTCAATGCGGCTGCGGCCTATCTGTGCTTGTTCAGACCGTTAACGAATGTTTGCTCTGGGAAGGTTCATCATTGCGGCCGAGATAGTCATCTGACACCGTTTCTGTCCGAAACGTGTCGTTGGCCCATGTACGAGGTCACGGCGGTGACGAGCGTTTCCTCCTGCGTCATTTTGTATTATTCATGTTTTGTTTTGTTCTTCGGAGGACGGATAACGAGCACAAAAACACGAGTGAATGCTGGCACTCGATTCAAATTTCGATCACGGTTAATCATGATTAATCGTGATCAAAATTTCAATCGAGGATGAATCAATACTGTGTATAGCTAGAACAGGAGGGAAAAATAACAGGTATGTCATCGGTTTCATAGTGTAGCAGTTAGCACGCCTGCATGGGAAGCAAAGGCGCAGACTGTTCGATTCCCAGAGAAACAACATTCTTGGCGCCTGCCTGTTGCAGCGGTTCTGCTGTTAACACAAAAGATTCCCAAATATGGGATCAATAAAGTTCAAATTTTTATTATTATTATAGTTTCATACCTATTTGTGATTTGAGGACCATTTGATAATTGCGACTTACTTACTGCCCTACGCTAAGTGAGGTCTGATGCAAGCCAACTTGAGCCTGAACCTAAGTATCCCCTAAAGGCATGCTGGGAGTTGAGATGCAACGTAAATGGATTAGAATGCGACCCTGTTAAAAAATAGTACGCCGGGTGATGCCCGGTCGTTTGCCCTCCCTGCCACTAGAGGGCGCTGTGTAAACCTGCCTTCCTTTTTATTATATTTTTCCCCCCAAGAAGTGATTGTTGCAGTAGTTATTTGACAACAATTGTCTATCTTTCTTCTAAGTGTGAATATTGTAGCATTTGGCGACCACGTGGCCACTCAGGCGGTGGATGGCTAGGTGTTTCGGAGTTTCTCGCCTGAGCTCCACACTCCCCTTAAGTCTGTTTTTGTGTATGTTTTGCACATGTTTTACAGTTTATATTTTGGTGCCCAATTTTAGGGAGGCACCATTTGACTTTGTTTAGACTTGAAGTTTGGCCTTCCTAGATACCATATCTCCTGGGAACAAACAAGGCAGTCCTTATGTGGCCCATTTGTGTTGAAGTAGGTAATGACTGCCTGCCAAACTGTCCAACATAGTCCACATAGGTCCACACTTTTTTACGACTCACACTTTGTCGCAGTATTCTACCTTGATATACCACGTCCATGCTAACAGTGACTAAACAGGTTTTTCCTGTCCAAAATCAATTCATTTAATCAATTCATTTAAGTCATTTTATTGACTTTTCATACGTCTACGGTTGTAAGAAATGGATCCATTCTTTCTGGTGTAGGTCTTTCGTATTTTAAGGGCTCTGGCGCCCTCCAGGGACGCCATTCCTCACAGTTTTTAAAAACAACTATCCCAGTATGATTGGAACAAACGGACATGTTTTATTGGTTGTCAATAAGGAAATATCTGTCACGAAAGGTTGTAAAAAATAAATAAATAAATAAAATAACTGACATAAAAGTAACACAACACACACAAAAAACTGTAGACAATTTAGTTTGTGTTTGATGAGGTTTTAAATCATAGTGATAGCTAGTGCTGTGACTAGAGTCAGCTGATTTATATGTCCGTCTCCACACCTTGTTTCCAAAAAATAAAAAAAAATAAAAAATACAAACCAAAAAAGGAGCTGCAGTGATGGATTGAGCTGCTGCTGAAAGTGAGAGGAGGAAAATAACTCAGCTTTGGAGAAAGAGAGATTATTGTACATTGTGGCCATACTCCATTTTGAATGATATCATCATTTTAATACTAATATATAATTTCAAAATTATGTAATTCATTGCTCCATTAAGGTTGTATGGTCTGCTGTTTTTTAATGTTTTTTACGTTGTGTATATATATATATATATATATATATATATATATATACGTCTTTTCCTCAAAATGATTGAGTTCTTTAATCGTTATTTAATATATATACCGTCTTTTGGAGTTTCTCTTGTCTATTGCGTACATTAATTCCAGCAATTACTTGTAAAGTCAACGGTATTTTCAGTTTTACACTCTATATATGCCGGTAATGCCGGTCCTTAACGTTAGGTGGTGATATTACACTAACACGTCGGGGGGCGGGGAGGGTTTAAGCCACGAAGAACATTAAGCAGGCGGAAGTATAAGGAAGCGGAAGTAGCAGTTGTTTTCGTTGACGATTGTGATGGTGAAGACGGATAGTCTTCACCACGGCAAATCTCCAGTTCCTGGTTTGAAGTGGATTAAAAAAAGTGGAGCTGAAAAACATCAGAGGAGCAGGATAATACCGGGCGAAGATTAAGCTTCCATTAAAGAGTAAATATCACAGTTAAATAAGTTCTGTTTATTGTTGTTTATTTAGCAAAGTCCATTGTTCGACCTCAAACGTCACGTCAGCTTAAGGGACGCGATCTGATCAAACCGCAAATGAAATCGAATTGTAATATGTGTCATTGAAATATATATATATAAATATATATATATATATATATATAACTAGGTTACATTAGATAATGTTTCACTTGAAAACTCGCAAACCCACTGCAAGTGTAACTTATTTTTTATATTCCCTACAGTGTTGCCGTCTATTTTTTTTTTTTTTTTTTTAACTCGGCTACATTTAGTTTCCCATACAGTGGGCTTCAGCCATAACATTGACTACAGCTTCGTTGGTCAAGATAATGGTGGTTCTTGGTTCACTGCTAGTCAGTCTTCCGAAATGTACAGACGGGAATAGGTGAAAGAACACATCCGACATTCTTAGGAATATTTTCTTCTTTATATGTTAACGTATAGCTAGAATTATTGACGTCTTCATACGGTCAAAAATGATTTTGCTATGGTGTTACAATTAAATAAACACTGCCAATGGAATCTAGATATAGAAATGTACTGTATATATGTTTTATAATAATAATTTGTATTACGTGTCAAGAGTTTCTTGACAAATATATGTTTTATAATAATAATTTATATTACGTGTCAAGAGTTTCTTGACAAAACCGGTGAAACCATTGAGAGTATTTGACAATTCTTTGAAAGTCACAAACTTTCGCGACCCATGTCAACAGACATTATTCGTAAACTCCAGGGAAACAGGATGCGAGACGACCAAAAAAAATAGATAGTTGACAATTCGCATTTCTTTTTATATATAAACCAATAAACAGAAACAAAAGTGATGTCATTGTCCCGCAGTGTATTATAAGCTGTCTGGAGCTGCACGAAACCATGGCTACAAAATACAGTGACGAAAATACAAATGTGTCGTGAATATATCGTGAATAATTGGTCGAGTTTGTCTTTGCCTTTCTTTTCTTCAGTGTCTGCCTCGAAAGTGTTGTCTGAAGGAGGCTCCTTTTTTAAGGGGATGTTGATGGGAGGAATCTTTTGCCTGGTGCTGTCGCTCTTGGCCAGTTTCAGCCCCATCTCGATCTCCGGGACGGAGGAGCATCATCATCAGCACCAGCATCATCACGTCCAGGCTCCGAGCAAAGACGAGCTGAAGAGCATTTCTGACGCCGACATGCAGCAGCTGAATGAGGAGCTCCGAGTGTACTGCGTCATCATGGTCCAGCCAAAAGCTCTGGTCTACTGGGCCGCAGCTCTGGACACCTGGAGCAAACACTGTGACAAGGCGGTCTTCTACACTTCAGAGAACTCAAAGGCTTTGGACGCCGTGGACCTGAATGAAAAGGACGATTGGGCCAGGTTACGCAAAGCTCTAAAGCATGCGTACAAACACGCCGGAAACCTGCGGTGGTTCTTTGTGGCCCAGCCCACAACGTTTGCGATCATCGAGAACTTAAAATACCTGCTGCTCACCAAAGACCCCAACGACCCCTTCTACATGGGGAACCTGATGAAGTCCGGAGAGCTGGAGTACGTGTCCTTTGACAGTGGCATCGTCCTCAGCTATGAAGCTCTGAGGAGGCTGGTGAACACGTTTGAGGACGAGGCCAAGTGTCCGGAACGGGGACGAGCGCTGTGGAAGCTGAGCGATGACAAGCAGTTGGCCGCCTGTCTCAAATACACCGGCGTGTTCGCGGAGAACGGAGAAGACGCCAACGGGAAAGGGCTGTTCAACAGTCAGAGTGTGTACCGCATGATCACGGACAGCATGAAGGACAACCCCAACAACGTCGTTGAGGGCTGCTGCTCTGACATGGCCGTTACCTACAGCGGGATGACGCCCAACCAGATGCAGGTCATGATGTTTGGCGTCTACAGACTGCGTCCGTACGGACACGATTTTCACGACGTGTTAGCGTTTTATCCTCCCAAAGATTCGGACAACGATTAAAGACTGTATCCTGGAGGGGGGGAAAAAAGGAACATAGGGTTTTAATGTTATGGGAGTGGGTGTTTTTAAGCTTTGGGTACAAATGTGATTATGAGTGACGAAAAGAGTTTTACGAAGATTTGTATTTTTGCACATGACACAATAAGCCTAGAGTTTTCGGGTGGTGAAGGTTTCAAAACTGACTGGCACATATTTTTGTCCCTATGAAGGAAAGAAAAATAATCTGGGAAGCTGATCAACTGACAAACTGTGACACAGAAAAAGACATGACATATTCCAATAGTTTCAGATCCATATCTGGTATCTTCCGTGTGGCCCACATGTTTCTCACATTATGTAGGGCCATACAAACCTGTCTTTTAGTTTCATCGAGTTATTAGTGTCACTCTTCTTCGGTTAAACCAAAAGAAACACAAACACCATAAATTTGGTCCACCATGCCCTGTGTCACACACGTCGGCCAAACCTTTGTTTGGTTTAACGCAGGAAACGATGTGGCCCACACCCTAGGTACCAGATTTGGAAACTGTTCAGCTACGTTCCATTGTCTTGACCGGTTTTGTGGAAATAAGTCTGGGTGATTTTTCTGGAATGCTTTGATTAAATTAAAACAATTTTGTATCTTTAAACGTTTTCGTCTTCTTGCATTTCACAGCTAAGTCGTTGCACGGGATCCTTGGTGTACGAGGTCTTCGGCCTACGGTGTTTAAGAGTTAAGTCGCTTTCTCTCGTAAATTTATTAAGTCGTTGCACGGGTGTTTAAAAGTTAAGTCGCTTTCTCTCGTAAATTTATTAAAAAAAATATATATATATATATTATACCATCATTTTGACGTGCGACTTTAAACTAAATTCCTCACGTAACTAGTCGGCAAGCGGTGCAAATGTTGTCACACAACGCTATATTTCATTCACTGTTTGTACGCCATACACTGGCTTGTGCTACATTCACTTTCTTGTGTTCCTTTTTGGGGACCTTTTTGTCCTTTAAAAATGGCAGCTCTTCTAGTTTGATCGCACTTTGTTAAAGTTGTTTTTAAAAGT